AGCGTGAGCTCATGTTCTAGCAGCTCATTCTTCAGGATTCTCTCCTCTGAGGAGTCTTTGCAGACACACGTTTTCCAGCACATCCCACAACATGGCAGATCCTATGCAGAAATACAGCAGAGCTCTGTGAAGTTTATCACTCTTTGGAAATTTTCAGCGTGACCTCACCCTGGCCAAGATGCTGACTCTGTTAACTTCTCAATCAAAACAGTCAACCCATCACTGCTGGGCAAGAAGGCAGCATTTGTACAGATTTTATTATACTGCCAATGATTGGTTTCTGATTTGAAAGAGCCCCGGGTTGTCATGAGAAACCAGCAGGAGAGAACCACGTGTCTCTGTTAACACCGCAGCTCTGCTCTCGGGAGGAGCATCCAAGGTTTGTTAGTCGCTCAACTCCATGTGAGATATGTTCCAGTAACGTAACATTCCCCTGTCCAAAAGGACTGTTTATAAGTGTTCCAAGTTCAATGATATCTACAGTCATTAGCAAGAGTCCACTAGGCTCTGAGGAGTCCAGAGATGTCAAGCAGAGCAACAGTGTGGCGCCTTCAATAATTGGGTGCTGGTTTATCTTCTATGGTGCCAGAAGGCAGGGAGGTGACTTGGGGAGGTAGGGATGTGGCTTCCTAGTAATAAAATAAAAGTAGAGAGCCAGGCAAGGTGAATGCAGATTTCCACCTCCTTTGGCTCCCACCTTGGGCTGCAGGGCCCACCTGGCCCAGGCCCCTCCAGGGCTCTCCCTGACCCCTGTTCTCCCTGCTCTCGTGACACCACCACACTCACTAGCGTTGGCACAGACCCAGCCTGGCCTCCTCTGGGCCACACCTGGATATAGACAGTCAGGGCTTCCACTGAAGCCACTTGCCTCAAACTGGAATCAGCTGTTTCCAAACAGGCACTGTATGAAAACCAAAAAATATGGAGGTTTTGTTTCTTATTGTAAATTTTAAAAATGTGTCTAGGGATTCAGAAACGAGTACCCTTTTTGGTTCTGAAAATGCTATTCACATAACTGAAAGTACAACTCAGTCTTTGAAAGTCTTAGTTTCTAGTTTCTGTAAAGCAAATGTTCCTTGTCTTCCCAAGAAGCCAAGCCTGGTTCCAGAGAGGGTGTGGAAGGCTGCTGAAATGCCAGGGGAGACTTTGCTAACATCTAAAAGACAAATTTATAACTTGGAAGCATAATCATGTTGCTTTGGATTTAAGGAAATCATTTTATTAACAAAGTCATAAACAAATTAGTGTTAGAATCGAGAGCTGGTGTCTAAGGCTCCCTACCTAGAGGCATTATAGAAAGACTAAATATTACATGTGTGTAATGTAGAAAATGATGCATATTTGTCAGTCAAGAGGTGATGACTGCATAATAGCTGGTAATGCCTGTGCAATACCTGTATACAACACTGTTCAAAACAAAGTGCATTTAATGTGTTACATAATTTATAAATATTGTTTTCATATTTAGAAAACATAATGGTAGATATCAAACTTCAAGAGTCAAATAAGCAGCTTAACTAACCTATTATTCTCAATGAATTTTTATTTTCCCCCAAGTGAGAGGAGGGCATTATTAAAAAATCAGAAAAAAATTAGATATTCTATAAAATATACAATTAATAGCATTAATGGAAATTTAGTATCGTTTCCAACAATGAGATATTTTGGAGGTAAGAAGACAAATTCAAATTGCTTAAAGAAATGACCTTGAGAAATAGGAATAAAAACCGTTTCCCATTTTATATTTTTCCTGTCATAGATGTCACTTACGAAGCTCTAGACAGAGCTTTGTTTCTCCAACTAAAAATTCACAGTCGGTACAGTTAAAAATGCTGTTTCTACTGGCTATTGAATACCATATTCAATACTTACGTTTACTTCATGATTTACTTATCGATAAACTTGGTAGTTACCATTTAAACACAGCCACCGCTAGCATGATTTAGATTGTTGTTCTGATAGACACCACCAAACTGAGGCAGTTGAAATAATGGTATGGTGAATTTTCAGAATTATGAGTTAGGCTCCTATCTTCAGCCTAATTCAAAGCTTACAAAGAAATTATTTTTGAATGGTTATTTGGCCCAAATATAGAATGACATGAATCTTAACTCAATCTTACTGTACCCATTCCACTTAGTTTGTCATTTACCTTCAAATTTTTTGGGTAATTCTGCAAGTCCATGATTCAGTTCTTGAGCGCTCTTACCACGAAAAAGTCCGTAGGTGATGGTAACGCTACCATTCGAAGCAAAGTCTCTAATGGCAATTGTGCTAGTGACCCAAGCTTGTGTCCCAAGAATACAGCAAATTACGACGAGAGACCCTAAGCTTGTGAGAAAGCTCAGTAAGAACATCGATGTTTTCTTTCTTGTAGGCATTTTCTTCAGAAAATAAGTTTTCTAGGGTAAAAACCAAAGATCTTATAATATTTTTGGACCTTATCATTTGGAGTCCAGTGAAGAAATGGAAGTCTAATACTCAGTTGTAAAATATAAAACCTTGCTCTTCGTAGGAAGGGTTATGCTAATGAACACTGGACTGTGAACATGGTTGTAAAGATTTGCAGTAGCTGAACTTTGGTCTGGAGTAAAGGGTTACTATGGTTACAGCCAACCAGCAGCAACAAGGAGTGGGCCTGGTCTTCCTGATGACTTCCTCAGTCACAAAATTAATTTATAATCCTTCTTCAAGTGCCATGGAAGCAAGGTCAGCCTACCATGTCAGGACAGGACTAGAATTCCTAAATAATAACGGAATGGAGGATCTGTGTCACCAAAGTGTTGCTGAAGTCAGCAGCTAAACACAAACCCCCAACTCCTTCAAAACTTGCTTCATTGGTTAGTGATTTGACCTATGAAACTGTCCTAAAGGGTAAGTCTTTATCAAATGATGGAATGGAAAATGAAAAGTTTGCATCTGCTTATATTTTACATCTTATTTTTAGACCTTGTTAGAGAGGTGTGCCTTTCAAATCTCCTCTTTCAAATTGGATTGTATTTATACATTATTTAAGTTATAACTTGAGAGGGTCCATCTTTATCTCTCTTTAGTACCTGTAGAAGTGGTTCTGAACATGCTTGCTTTAGGTCTCTATGCCTTCTATCCTCTCTGTGGAGTGGCTAATAGCTTATAAATGGTATTTCTGGCCCTCAGAGAAACTCCCCCACTTGGCTAACAGATCATTTCTGGAGTGATAAATAGATGTTCACAGCATGTTTAACGTTCCTCTTTTTGTTGTATTCTTTGATTACAAAGTAATACTGTATATGCATGTTAGCATCCTGTACTTTTCCTGGGTAGCACCTAACTTATTTGTAGAATTAGCTAACTGTCTGTCTTTCCCACTGCAGTAACTAGAGGATGCGCTTGGGGGCGGCGGGGGATGGGGGGACACATTTGTTTTGTGTCCCACTGGACCCCAGAGTCTGTCAAAGAGCCTGGCACCAAGAAGACACTCAGCAAATTTTGTCAGATGAATTATTAGAAATATGTACACATACATTCCACCACTGTGAACGTGTGTGTTGTTTCCATTTTAAATTATGATCGAGAAATAACAATTCATGAACATCCTTATGCATAAACATTTGTCTATATCTCTATTTCCTTGCTCAGATTTCTGGAAGCGAATCACAGTATGGGGACTTTTACTGAGGCTGTCACTGTGCATTGCTCAGCAGCTCGTTAAAAAAGGTGCCAGTTCGCCCACTCCATTCCTAACACAGTGAGTGTGTGCACTGTATTACATCCCCGTGACATCATATTTATTGGGGAAACTGATATCCCCCATTTAAGTCTATTTATTTTTACCACATTTTAAGGTTTGAGACAGAATTTCAGTAGTTATTTACTACTAGCTCCTTTTCCAGTGTAAAACTAATTTTGTATCATGATACACGTGCTATATATGCTTATCACAGTGAAGTATTCAAATGGAACTGCCAAGAAGAAGGAAGCAAATGTAATGAATAATTCACCCTAGAAGAAGTAGTTATGTACCTGGTTGGGCAAAGACTTTCATAACCATGTCTTTATGCCCATACACATATTTATA